TGACTCCTGAGGAGGAAGAATTTTGTTTTGTTTTTTAAAATCCTCACCTGAAGATATTTTTCCATTGATTTTCAGGTAGAGTGGGAAAGAGAGAGAGAAACATCAATGTGAGAGACACACATCCATTTGTTGCCTCCCACAAGACACCCCCCCCCCCCCAGGGCCAGGGCCAGGGATCAAACCTGCAACCTAGGTACACGCCCTTTGACCTGAAGCAAACCCAAGACCCCTTTGGTCCTTGGGCCTAACCGGCCAGGGTGAGGAAGAGATTTTAAACAAAAAACAATAAAAGTCAGAAGAAATATGATGAAAGGAAAAAGAATGTCAAAATCAGCAGTCTCCTAGAGGAACTGGGCAAGTTCCAATGGGCAAGCTTCTTGCATGGCCGTTTCAAGACCAGGCTGATGTGGCCGAACAGATGGCTATGTGCTGGAGGACAAGGAGTTAGAGTTCCATCTGAGGAAAATCAAGGCCCAGAAAGGCCAATGAGTGTATGGGGATGGGGGATTTGAGAAAATATAACATGTTAACATCTGTTAAGTGGAAATTATTGCAAATGGTTATGTGCAATGTGACATTTATGTTTTGAAAGCACTAAACAATACCACACTGTTAAATTGGAATGGTGGGATCTTGAGCATCTCTTTTATGTTCTGTAAGTTTGGAATATTTCAAAATTTACATTTTAAAATTAAATTTTAAACAAGCAAAATTGGCAGGATAGATTTAATAAAAATAGCTAATGTTGACAATTGTTAGAGTTGGGTGATGGGTACATAGGAGCTCATTATACTTTTTTCTTTTCTTAAAAGATATTTTTATTTTTATTATTATATTTAGTATGTTTTTATTGATTTCAGAAAGAGGAAAGGAGAGGGAGAAAGAGATAGAAACATTGATGTGAGAGAGAACCACCGATCAGCCGCCTCCTTCATGTCCCCCACTGGGAATCAAGTTCACAACCCAGGAATCAAACCAGCGACTTCTTGGTGCTCAACCACTGAGCCTTACTGGCTGGGCCTCTTTTTTTTTAAGTTTGACATTTTTGTTTAAGTTTGAAATTTTCCATAATAAAAGTTTTGTTGCGTTGGCCAGTTTGACTCAACAGTTAGAGTCGGCCCTCAGACCAAAGACTCGAGGGTTTGATTCTGGTCAAGAGTGTGTACCTCAGGTTTAGTTCAGTCCCTGCTGCTGGTCAGGGTCGTCCACTAGGCAACCAGTCAGTACGTCTCTCTCACATTGATGTTTCTCTCCCTCTTTCTGTCCTTCCCTTGCTCCCACTCTATCTGAAGATAAATGGAAAAATATCCTCTGGTGAATATTTTTTTTAAAGTTTATTAAAAGTAAAAATTAAGACTTTAAACATTTTCATAATTTGCATGTGCTCAGAAGTTGCCTGGAAGGGCAAAACAACAAACTGTCAATAGAGACAACTCTTCCTTGTTGCCTCAAACATATCATTTTTATAGCTTTCTTCTGCAGTTCTCAGATTCTCAGAGTCCTGGACCCCAAGCATGTCCCTTAAGGTTTGGGGGAAGACAGGAGGGAGTGGAAAATGGTAGGGAGAGCCCTGGCCGGTTTGGCTCAGCGGTTAGAGTGTCGGCCTGCAGTCCAGAGAGACCCGGGTTCGGTTCCCGCTAAGGGCACGTTACAGTTTGTCCCTGGCCCTGGTTGGGTCGTGCAGGTGGCAACCACTCGATGTGTCCCTTTCACATCGATGTTTCTCTCTCTCTCCCTCCCTCCCACTCTATCTGAACAAAAATATCAAAAAATGTAAAAAAAAGAAAAGAAAATGGTAGGGAGAGCTATCTTCCTGGTCCAGGTGAAAACAACAGGATTGGACTGGTGACAGTCACAGTGGGGGTGAAAAGGAGGAGACTGTGGCCCAGGCCAGTTTGGCTCACAGTTTGGCTCAGCAGTTAGAGCGTCGGCCTGCGGTCCAGAGAGACCCGGGTTCGGTTCCTGCTAAGGGCACATACCTCAGTGGCAGTTTGTCCCCGGCCCTGGTTAGGTCGTGCAGGAGGCAGCCAGTCGATGTGTCCCTTTCACATAGATGTTTCTCTCTCCCTCTCCCTCTCTCCCTCCCACTCTATCTGAACAAAAAATGGAAAGATGTCCTCAGGTGAGAAAAGAAGGGGAGGGGAGGGGAGGGGACTGTGTCATGAACTATTTCAGAGGTAGAATTGATAGAACCTGACAAGCTCCTTTGAGGGCAAGAATTATCCTTCTTTGCTTAACTGGTTTCCCCAATTGAGGGGAGTGTAATTCTAATTCTAGTAAGTTTTCCAGTCATATTCCTTGCTGCAGGGGGTAAACATTCACACATTGGCCCAGCCAGTGTGGCTCAATTGGTTGTGCATCGTCCCATGCACCAAAAGGTCACTGGTTGGATTCCAGGTCAAGGCACATGCCAGGGTTGCAGGCTTTATCCCCCCGTAGGGGGCTTGCAGGAGGCAGCCAATCTATGTTTCTCTCTCATCGTTGTTTCTATCCCTCTCCCTTCCTCTCTTTCTAAAAAAAAAAAATATATCAATAAAAACATTTTTTAAAATTCACATTGTAATTCTAGCATAGTCTATTTAATGAATGAATGAACGATGCAATCTCCTTCCTTTCTGTTCAGAGCAACTAAGAACTTGACTCTCTTTATACGCTGACTCATCAATTAAATGAACCAATCAATACATTTCTCCTTTTATTAAATTTTTTTTATCCTCACCCGAGGACATTTTTCCATTTTTTGTACAGATAGAGTGGGAGGGAGAGAGAGGAAGAGAGAGAGAGGGAAACATTGATGTGAAAGGGACACATCGAGTGGCTGCCACCCGCACGACCAACCAGGGCCGGGGACAAACTGCAACTGAGGTACACGCCCTTAGCGGGAACCGAACCCGGGTCTCTCTGGACCGCAGGCGGACGCTCCAACCGCTGAGCCAAACCGGCCAGGGCATCAATACATTTCTTTTGTTTGTTTTGTTGCTTAGGATTTTCTAACACTTGCAACCAAGAGTCCTGACCAAAGATCACACATACACAAACTTTTGTATACAATTTTGAGTATTCACATATCTCTTCCCATCTCCCAAGCTCTTGGGCTCCTAGGCCTTCAGATTTAGAATGAGGTCTATCTAAAGTGAATAGTCCGGCCAGTGTGGCTCAGTGGTTGAGCATCGACCCATGCACCAAGAGGTCGCTGGTTTGATTACCAGTCAGGGCACATGCCCAGGTGGTGGGCCAAATCTCCAGCGAAGGGCATACAGGAGGCGGCTGATTGATGTTCTCTCTCATCAGTGTTTCTCTTTCTCCCTCTCCCTTCCTCTCTCTAGAACAGTGGTTCTCAACCTGTGGGTCGCGACCCCTTTGGGGGGTTGAACGACACTTTCACAGGGGTTGCCTTAGACATAACAGTAGGAAAATTACAGTTATGAAGTAGCAACGAAAATAATTTTATGATTGGGGGTCACCACAACATGAGGAACTGTATTAAAGGGTTGCAGCATTAGGAAGGTTGAGAACCACTGTTCTAGAATCAATAAAGAAAAAATATTGTTTTAAATAAAAATTAAAAAATAAAGTGAATGAATATCCATTAACAGTACTCCCTGCTTATTAACTCTTTGTGAGCTCCCAAAGCTTGCTGTGACTGATCACCCTCCCTAACCAAGTGGTTCTCTCATCACCTAGTATTCCCAGGGTCATTGTGTTGACCATAGAACATGGTACTTGCCTGTGGTACACCACATGCCTGTGCCCAGCCCCTGGCAATCTCCTCTTAGCCTAAGGGTGTAGCTGAAGCTTTGATCAGGGAAACTTCCTCTGCCCTTCCACCTCCCTGAGGATTCTCTATGACTTCATGAAGAAAAAAGATAACATAGAGGGCTACCCACTCTCTGAATCTAACCCACTGCTTCCCAAATCAACTCCATGGGGCTTTACAAATCACAATGTGGAAAGGGTATTGATCCAGAAACTTCAGGACCTGTCCTAGAACACAGTAATGCCTTTTAGCCAGTACAATGCAAACACTATGGTCATTGAGCAGTTTTTAGAGAGCATGGAATTTTAAATATTCCCTAAGGACAAATTCGAAGGTCTAAAAAAATTCGAGATTATCAGAGGTCATTAAGTAAAAGAAATAACTCATCCAGGCACTGATAGAATTCCAGAGTACTGATACTCCTCTCTGCCCTTGCTGTTAACCCTTGGCGACTGAGTCCCAGGAGGAAGGCAGCTGCCTTGCCCAATGGGGAGTCAGCAGGGGTCAAGGCCTGTCGCCAAGGTGGGTCTGCTGGAGGCACATTCTATTCTTTACTCTGTTCAGGATACAAAGATCTGACTGAGAGGAGAGTCTTGAGAGGGATGATGAATCTGGGAGGCTGAGGAATGCGGGGATCAAAAGACTTAAGTCGCAAACCAGGGAGATGAGTGAAAAGACCGAGCTTGCTTTAAGTAGACTACGCCAAGTGTAAATTCACACTCAAGAAGTTCATAGCTGGCGGGCAAGGAGGAGCTAAAGGGCCGGGGCTTTACAATACAAACACAGACCCGGGCCTGGGGACCCTTGCCCAGCCACAGTTCTCAGGGGCAGCCTTGGAGGTGACCTCTCATCGACGGCCTCGGGGTAGCGAGGAGGGGGTTCTCCGCTTCCCCTGGTGCCCCGTCCCAGAGAGGGGCGCAAGCGGCGGTGGGGCGGGTGGTTGGGATGGTCTCCTCTGGTCCTGCAGATAGCGGCCCTTGGTGGGAGAGGCTGATCTCGGAGCACTCAACCTCCACTCAGGAAGACAGCTGCGGGGGGCGCCGGGGGGCGCAGGGGGGCGCAGGGGGCCGCGCCATTTTCCTTCCTGCTCGCGCCCGGCGCCCAGGCTGGGCATCGGGAAAGGCATCTGCTCCCGGCGGCCTGAGCGAGGACTCGGGCGCCCAGCGCCGCCTTTCCCCCGAGGCGCGACGGGACCCCAAGACTGTCACCGCGATCACCGGCCGCACGCCGGCCACGCCTTCCGCCGCCAGCCGGAAGCGCCTGCAACCCGAGGTGGAGGGTCTTCCGGCGGGACCGCGAGGCAACCGGCTCGCCATGGCGGCCTCCTTGGCCGGGAAGAAGATCGTGTTTGTCACGGGGAACGCCAAGAAGCTGGAGGAGGTGCCGGGAGGGTGCGGGGGGCCGGCTGGGGGTCGGGTGAAGGGGCTTCCAGGCGGAGGCGGCACGCGGGAGGAGTCGGACCCGCAGGGGTGGGTCGGACCCGCGCGTGTGGAGGAGGTTAGCCCGCGCGGAGTGGGGCGGCCCGGGACACGGCTTGTGAGCTCCGAGGTTGTGGGAGCCGAAGGAGTGGTGGGGTCCTTAGCGCCGGATTGAGCTAGACCTCAAAACGGGTCCGTGCGCCCTTCTGGAGCGGACCCAGGACGCGCTGCTGGCGCCGGCGTGGCAGGGGCCGGACGGGCGTGGGACAGACATCCAAACCGGGCCGTCCACGGCCTACCACGGTCCAGAAATGTGGTCCCCAGCCTCTCCCGGCCCTTTTCCGCATCTGTGAAGTGGGGATGATGAGAGGGAGAGTGAAGGAAGCAGTGGATCCAAAGTTCCCGGCCACAGGCACTTTGCGGCAAGCCGTGAGGATTCTGGGCGTTGATCAAACGTCTTTGGCTGCCAAGGAACAGACACCAGGGAGCTCATAAAACTGCCTGACTGTCGGAAGTACGTTATGGTGTCTCACAGGACTTAAGGAGGCTCTCGAGGGGCTGTCCCGTCCTCGTAGTTCTCTCCGGATGAGCATCCCTTTTCCTATTTCTGCTTCCTTTTCTCCTAGTAGAGGAGGCAGTGAGGCTTCTGCAGACACTAGCTCTGATTGGCCTTGCGTGTGTCCAGGTTTAGCCCCTGCTCAGTCAGCCATGGCCAAGCAGATGGGGTCCTGTGTGGGGAATCAGGATGGCACCCACTAGATATATCTGAGGCAGACCAGTGGGGTGCATTCATTAGGAGACCCTTCATTTGTCCACAGCATAGGGACTGATGGCAGTTCTGTTCCAGAACAGGTGGCCTTCTCAGGAACCAGAGCCCTATGCTGATCAAAGATTTGAGATCCCGAGGCCAGACCAGTCAAGCAGATAGGCAGCACCACCCTGAACAGAGCCCTGTGCAAGGTGGTGGGTGCCAAACCCTAAGCCAGCCTCAGCCTCTTGCTGAGAACATGGCCCTCCCACGTTTAAAAGAAGGGACTGGAGTGGCCAGAGGAGGCTCGCTGGAGAAGATGGACTTGAAGCTGGCCTAAAACAGGAAGTCTTAACTCCTCCTCATCCCGTGTTACCCATTGGCTGACTGATGAAGATTCTGGACCCTTTTCAGGAAAATATTTTTAAATATGCCAAGTAAAATACATAGAATTACAAAGGAAATCTATTGAGGTACAGTTCCCAAAATATTATAAATATTTGCGATCAGTTACACCTACTTTATTAATGTATTAAAGGATTCAATCTAGCAGTGTATGTAATTACCATAATTTTAAAACAATGAGGATTGGCCCTGGCTGAGTAACGCAGTTGGTTAGAGTGTTGCTCCAATATGCCAAGGTTGTGGATTTGATCTCCAGTCAGGGTACATACAAGAATCAACCAATGAATGCATAAATAAGTGGAACAACAAACCGGATGTTTCTCTCTCTCTCTTAAAAAAAATTTTTTTTTTCCGCCCTAGCTGGTTTGGCTCAGCGATTAGAATGTAGGCCCGCGGACCGGACAGGCCTGGGTTCAGTTCCCACTAAGGGCATGTACCTCGGTTGTAGTTTGTCCATGGCCCTGGTTTGGGTCATGTGGGTGGCAACCACTCGGTGTGTCTCTTTCACATCGATGTTTCTCTCTCTCTTCCTCCCACTCTCCCTCCCACTCTATCTGAAGATAAATGCAAAAAAAAAAAAAAAAAAAAGTCCTCAGGTGAGGATTAAAATAAATAAAATAAAAGAGGTGGTTCCCCCCCCTCCATCCAAGTTCATAGGCCTTCTGGATTCTGGGTAACTCGTGATAGAGAATTCCTGGGTTAGGAAAATTGGTAGGATTTCTGGGAGCATTGAGAAGGGAAGTGGGTGTTCTGGATAGGCAGTTAGCATGAACAGAGACCTGAAGTAGGAGACTGAGGAGATGAGGAGCTGACCTGCTGGCTGGGATGGACCCTGAAGGTTGGGGTGAGGCTCATGGGCCTGACTTGGTAAGTTTTAGGGGACTGACAGGAGAGTTACCTGATGAGACTGGTGGATGACAGCTTGTGTAATAATGGGGAATCATTAACAAATGGTGATGATGTTCTTTCATTTTGGAACAGGTCATTCAGATTCTAGGAGACAAGTTTCCATGTACTTTGGTGGCACGGAAAATTGACTGTATGTCTTTGTTTTGTTTTATTTTTAAAAGATGGGTTGATTTCTCTGTCTGCTGGTGACCTGACTCTGTGTGTCTTTTCCCTCCTAAGTGCCCGAATACCAGGGAGAGCCTGATGAAATTTCCATACAGAAGTGTCGAGAGGCAGCTCGCCAGGTGCTTGTTCTGCATGTGTGCTCTGCTCATTTCCCCTGTCCTGGGGCCTGTGCCTGCTGGGAATGAGTGGGGAATAGTAGTGTGAGCACAATTTGTTATGACTTCAGGGACCTGCCCAAACCTAGCTATTCTGGGATCAGTTCATGTTAGCCCTGGAATACTGCCTTTTTTCAATCTTGACTGCATAGTATCTCCCCAGAGCACCGTATACACACATAATTCTCTGTCTGATTCTCAGATACATACATCCAGCTCCTACATTTTCCCCACATACATTTACCCCTGCACTCATTTATCTCTGTGGGACTGAGAAAGAACACTTTCTGAAGGGTCAGGCTGCTTGAGTATGAATCCCATCCTTTCTGTTGCTGTGCCTGGAGCAGGATTTAAAACCTACCAAGGCTTTGGTGTCCCTATCTCTAAAACGGAATATGAGATCAGCCCAGGGATAATCCTGGTAGCAGATGAACCTCTGCTGCTGCTGCAGATCCCAACTAGCTGTGGGCTTGGGCCCAGCTTGGATGGCCTGGGAATTCAAGGCTGCGTCAAGGCCTGTTGCTGGTGGCGGGTCTCAGGGCTGCATTTCCTTGTGCTGCAGGTGCAGGGGCCTGTACTGGTTGAGGACACCTGTCTGTGCTTCAATGCCCTTGGGGGCCTCCCTGGCCCCTACATGTGAGTGCTCCCCCAACCCCTAACAGGGACCTGCCCACAAAACCACCTGAACTTGGAAATGATTGGTTATTTGATATTGAGGTTTATTCACTGTCTTGGCATTAACACTAATATTTCAGATTGTCCTGAGGAAGGATTAGGGATGGGGGAGAGGCATGCCTTTCTTTTGTAAAGTGTGAGAATGTGATTGTGTAAGTGGAGATGGGCAAGGGGAACCCACTGGTTGAAGAGGTACATTCATGGGCAGATCGATTTCAGGAAAGAGAAAATAAGGAAGTCAAGATCTGACAGTGGATTTCCTTAAAACCAACCAGTGCCCTGGACCCTCTCAGAAGTATCTCTAGGGTACAAATACCCCAATTTGAATACCCCTCTCTGAGGTTGGGGGGTAAATGCACAGCAGTGCTGTTGCTGGGTCTTGTGTTTTGTTTTGTTTTTTTAATCCTCACCTGAGGACATTTTTGCATTTTTTTGTTCAGATAGAGTGGGAGGGAGAGAGGAAGAGAGAGAGAAACATCGACGTGAAAGGGACACATCGAGTGGCCGCCACCCACACAACCAACCAGGGCCGGGGACAAACCGCAGCTAAGGCATGCACCCTTAGTGGGAACCGAACCCGGGTCTCTCTGGACCGCAGGCCAACGCTCTAACCACTGAACCAAACCAGCCAGGGCTGTTGCTGGGTCTTGGATATGTATTTATTTAACACTTAGATTGCCAATATGTTTGCCAAGACAGTGGCACTCATATGCACGTACAGTATGCATTGCCATGTGGGGAGTGTGAAATATCACATGCGGTTTTAATTTACATTTCCCTAGTTACTAGTAAGCTTGAGGCCTTCATTGAATTATTGGTTCTTCTATCTATGGCCTGTTTACTTCCATTTTCTTTTTCCTATTGGATGATTTGTCTTCATTTTGAGTTGAGACATTCTTCACCATGTCAGCCCCTTGGCTGTCCAGGGGCTCTAATCCCTGGGGGTGTGCAACCCAGAGAAGATGTTGCCTGGAAGATCCATTTTCCTGGTGTCTGACTCGCCTTTGTTTGTCTTGCAGAAAGTGGTTTCTGGAGAAGTTAAAGCCTGAAGGTATTATCTGCTTTATTTCTTCCTTTAGATCTGTTGGGAATTGAGAATCCAGAGGTGGTCTAAGGAGAGGGCCCCGACTAGTAATCAGGAATCTCAGGTTCCAGCCCCACCATGGAGACTCTCTTCGCCCTAGTTTCCCCACCTATAACTTGGAGCTCACACTTTCCCTGCACACTTAGCTCCAGGGAGCTCTGAGATGTGGAAAGAGTGGATGGGAAAGGGGTGATGGGAGCTGTGAATTTGAGGGACAAAGGAACTGCAGTTGATTTTGGCTAAGAGGACTGGCCCTACTGACTGCTTGCCTGTCCTTGTCTCAGCTGGGACCTGGCCTTGGGTTGGGGTCTTCCCCTCCTGGGCCCCAGCAATGCATACCCCATCACCTACAGTTGCAGACCAAAATGTTCCCTATTTAGGTGCTTCTAAAAACATGTTATATTAATGAGCATTTAAACATGTACAGTGGTAGAATAGAATAATGAACCCTTGCTTGCTCCCATGACTCAACTTCCAAGTTTATCAGCATAAAGCCTATCTGATGACATGTATAAACGCCCCAGTTTGGCACGTGTCCCCCAGTCCGGGGCTTCAGGGTGGGGAGTGGGGGCTGGCCGGCACCGACTGCGCTGAGTCCTCACTGCACCTGCCCGCAGGTCTCCACCAGCTCCTGGCCGGGTTCGAGGACAAGTCGGCCTATGCACTCTGCACATTTGCGTTCAGCACTGGGGATTCGAGCGAGCCGGTGCGCCTGTTCAGGGGCCGGACCTCGGTGCGTACTTATGCTGCTTCCTCTACATGCCCCCAGAGGGCGCTGCGACTCCAGCGGGCAGCCCAGAGTCTTCTGCTAGAGGGTAGCGGGGAGGGCCCCGAGGCCGCAACTACTTCCCAGGACTTGGCCCAGATCAGTCCCTGGGCAGCTGTTAATCCCAAAATCTGTGTCACCCCTAAGGCTGCTCTTGTAGGGGAATGCACAGTGGCTCACAGCTGTTGAGGCCTGTGTACCCAGAGCACTGCACTAGATGCCCTCCTGAGATGCAGATGTGGAAACTGAAGAGGACAACTCCCAGAGCTACGCCTATAGCCCAGACTTATACGAGTTCCTTATTCAACTACCGAGGCACAGCTTCCCTTGAATATCTCAGCCTCTCCCACTTTTCATGTTCATAGAGAATCTTCTCCCAACTCATTCCTTCCCCACTGCCTTTCAGCACCTCATGCCTACCTGTGAAGTTCAGCTGCTGCCCATAGGGCCCACACCCCTCCCTCCACCCCCTACCTGGTCCTTGTGGCAGAATGGAGAGAGTGCACCTTCTGGCATTCCCCTCTGCTTTGTCCCTTCTCAGGGTAAAATCCAGGAGTCCCACTGTAGCCCACAAAGCTCTATCCCAGAGACTCCACCAGGGGCTGACCACGGAAGTGTCCAGTTTCCCTACCTGGTTAGATTTGTGTGTGTGTGTGGTAAAAACATACACAAATTCACTTTTTTCCCATGTGTCAGTACTTTCAATGTTTTTTTTTTTTTTTAATTTATTTTTTCATGTTTTTAATTTTTAGAGAGAGATAGAAACATCAATGTAAGAGAGATTCATCGATCAGCTGCCTCCTGCATGTTCCCTATTGGGCATTGAGCTTGCAATCCGGGCATGTGCCCTGACTGGGAATTGAACTAGTGACCTCTTGTTGCATGAGACAATGCTCAACCAACTGAGCCACACTGGCGAGGCACCACACTTATATCTGTTTATCGATTGGTGGACATTTATTGCTTCCACGTTCTGGTTATTGTGAATAATGCTGCTATGAACACGAGAATGTTCTCTCAATCCGAAGTTTGAATAGCCACAGGCCCTGCTGACAGAGCTTAGTTGCTGCGATCTCCACCATTCCCTACTGTCTCCCCTGCTTTGGCTGCTTCGTGTACTTTGTTGCTTCCTGGCCCCCCCTTTATTCAGGGTATCCCTATTTCTTCATGTTCTGTTTTCATCTGCACTCTGAAGCCAATCACATTATCCTTTCAGTAATACTTATGCCAAGCTCTTCCCCTTTCAGGGCCTTGGCACCAGTTGTATCCTCCGCCTGGAATGCTTTTGTTTGTGTTTTAAATTGATTTTAGGGGAGAGAGAGAAATATCAGTCAGTTGCTTCCCATACACACCCAGACCAGGGCTTGAACCTGCAACCTGGGTATGTGCCCTGATCAGGAATTGAACCCATGACCTGTCAGTGTATAGGTCAATGGTCCAGCCAAGGCCTACTGTAACCTCAGTGCTGACAGCACTACCTGCCCCGCTGCAGCTGTTCAAAAAACATGTTACTTGGTTGTAGTTCAGAGTCGTCCAGTGACTGCCGCAGTCTCCCTGCTAGCAGAAGCAGAACTTGTCTTTGGTCTGGATGACTTAGCATTTATGTGTCTAATCCCCATCCTCTACTACCTGTCATATTATTTAAATTTTTTCTTCCATTGCTTTCATGGCAACATGACATTTTGTGACACTGGACTAGTTTGTTCTGCTGTAGTTTGCCTATTACAGGCACTATTTATTGAGCTCATTTCTATGTTGAACATTGTGCTAAATTCTATTATGTTATTTCACTTCATTGTTAAAGCCTCCCTTGCATTTTGAGAAATGCAGTAATAGTCACAGACATGGGGCTTCTCTGCAAGGTGCAGGGCCCTTAAATTCCTATTAGGAGAAATTGTTTCTGTCAATTTTTCAATTGACTTTTCTTTGATAGACCACGATTTGTCAAAGCTGTGGAGAAGGAGGGTGGCTCCAGGGGTATCAAGTACATGGTCCCTCCCTGTGTGTGAAGGGAGAGCTGTCCTGCTGTGCATTTTATTTATGTGTTTAGCAAACATTTGCAGGTTCCATGATCCCTTGAAACCATATATTTTTAGTAAATACGGTTTAACCAAAGCCATAAACTGGCTATTGTTTTCCTTCCAATGCATCTCTGGGCCCCATTCCCAGTGACATACCTGTCCCCTTTTCTCTGGCAGGGCCGGATTGTGGCACCACGAGGCTGCCGAGACTTTGGCTGGGACCCCTGCTTTCAGCCTGATGGATATGAGCAAACGTAAGGAGCCCAGTTTCTTGGGGCCAGGCTAGCCCTGGTCTGTGTTGTTTGGTGCCCCGCCTGAGTGTGCAGGCACGCGGATATGCAGAGGCAGGCTCCGAGGGTGCCGTTCCAGCCGAAGGCAGCTCTGCTGGGGTGGACGCGAGGAATCTGGGTGGCCCAGTCCACGGCGGGAGAGGCAGCCAGGCGTAGTTGGGAGATGTGGGCGTGGGCTCGGGCTCCAGCTCACAGCAGAGCAGCTATGTGACCTCTGTGGCTTCCCCTCTCTGACCTTGGCTCGTCATGCGTATATATACCTGACAGTTTTGGGGGATGATCTTCTTACTCCCCCATTTAGTTTGGAAAAGTGTTAACACTTTTTCAGCTTTTAGTGGGCATCACATTAAACCCCACTGTGCTGAGTGTTCTGGGTATTTGATACTAATTTCCTCCCTTATTTATATGGGACATGTTGGCCATTATTGGAGTGAGGTTTTCCAGGCTCGAGGTGCCCATAGGGATCATGGCCTGAGGCCTCACAATAGCCAGACAGGGCTGAGAACAACATGAAAGAGCACTGTCCAGGAACGCACTTTGGTGACAGGAATGTTCTTCGTTTGCACTGTACAGGCCAGGAGCAACTAGCCACAAGTGGCTATGGGACATTTAAAATGTGGCTAGGGCGCCTGAGAAACTGAAGCTCATTTTATTACATTGTAATTGGTTTACATTTAAATGGCCACATGTGGCTAGTGGTCATATACTGGACAGCACAGATCAGAAGCCCACCACTGGGGTGTGGGATTCTCGAACAGACCACTGGCTGGCCCCCACGGCGCCCCCACCCCCGCCGTGCCCGAGAGGAGACTGCTGTGTTTGCTGTCAGGCCCCACTGCTTCCTGTCAACAGATGACAAAGCTGATCAAACATGCAGCTCATCCCCCCGTCCCCAGCTTCCCTTAATGACTTTTGGACACATTGGAACAAGTTTACTGTCCTCCCACATTCAGCAATATGGGTTCCTACCTATAGGGGAATTAAAAACTTGCCAATTTTTAAGAGATTAATTGGCTGCCAGGAGCTGGAGGCCCCACTAGCCTTTCCTTGAGTTTGGGGCTCGAATGGTGTGGGGGTTGTACACACTCCCCGATCAGGGCTCCCTACTCTGAACTGCCGCTGTCCCCCCTTAGGTATGCAGAGATGCCCAAAGCTGAGAAGAATGCCATCTCCCATCGCTTCCGTGCCCTGCGTGAGCTGCAGGAATACTTTGGCGGCCTGACTTCTGGGGCCAGTGATGAGCATGCTCACCGAGGGTCTGGGGAGGGCTAACCTGAAGCCTCCCTCAGGCAGGCACCTCCCTCCGAGTATGTCCCTCAGGGTTTCCGGTACCACTTCCTGGGGGTGAGATTTGATAGACCCACCAGACCAGCCTCACCAGTCTGGAGGAGCAGGTGGCTGTCTGGAGATACTTTGGGCAAGGGACACCATTCTCTGGCTCTTGGGGAATCCAGTGGTCTCTCCTACAGCTTCCGGGCCTTGGCTCCTGAAAGGACCTCGGGTGTTAAAGGGGTCTTGGCAGGATCGAGGGTTTGGGGAAGGACCATACAACGTCAGTGTTTTTAAAATGCGGCAAATAAAGATTCTGGAAGATACTCAAAAATAAACTGGATGCATCTGCTTTGAAACCTACCCCGGGCAGGTGTCTGTCTCCTGAGTCCCTTTGGCAGAAGCAGGAAACCCGTCAGGTGCGGGGAGGGCCATGTCCAGGGTGTCCGCGTGGCCTTGCCAGCTGGAGTGTTACATCTCTGCTTTCGTTCTTCAGGTCTCACCTCCAGGGCTGACCTTTTCCATGCCAGGTCCATGCTGCTCACCCACCCATCGCGGGGGCCTTGCCCAGCGGGTCTCCATGGTGTGGCTGGGCTGGGGGCGGGCTGTGTGGGATGTCTAGTGCTTTTGCTGTGTGGAGTTACACATCAGAGCAGCTCAAATGCCGGCTTATGATTATAATGCCAAGTTCGTTCTTAAGGCAGGGATGGAGTCCTTGACCCCAGTTGAGTTGACATGCCCTATTCACCCTGGGGCCCCCAAGTCCTTCACGAGGCCTGACTCAGACGCCCCAGACCCTCACTGTGCCCTTCCCTGGTAGGGACCTTGGGGGCCAGGGATGGCTCCCTTGCCTTTCCTGCAGGTGTTTGGTGAGGAGGAGGTAGCCAACCCTGAGTATGTTCAGAGATGCCTGTTGTGTGCAGCAGGCCAGGGGGTAGGGGTGACCATGTCCTCAATGCTGGTGGGTCACTCCCAGGCTTGGAGAACGACCCCTCCAGGCCCTGTTCTTCAGTCCTGGCAGCGTGACCTGCGGCCTGGGTTTAACCCTTGTTTCTTCTCCTTGTGTGTGTGGCTGAGGCCAGAACATCAGTCTTGTGTCCCCGTCTTGCCTGCAAGGCCTAGCTGGGCTGTTGCCCTGGAAGCGCCAGCGGCCGAGCTCCTCTGAGCTGTCTCCTTGGTGGCAGGCGATGTCTGGCTAGGCTGATGGTGGGTGCTGGGGGCCTGCCTGCTCCTTGCTGGTGATTCTGGACATGACCCACCCTCAGGGGATACCCAGGCTACTGGGGAGAGGGCTCCAAAGGCTCACATGCTCCATGGGTGGGACAAGTATATGCAGCTTGGGGCAAGGCTTCCCTGTTTGTTACTCAGCTCCCTTCCCAGAGTCTGTCCTGCACAGTACACTTCCCACCTCCTTTTAACTTCAGCTCCTCATTCCCCGCAAATACATTGCTCGGTTGGAGGGTGAAGTGTCTTGAGTGTGTCCCAGCCTCTACTCCCCCATCAGTGCACAAGGGTCCCCCTATCTCCCACTTGGTCATCCAGCCTTGATGTTTGCTAGGCTACCCAGCAGAAGGTGCCGCGTGCTGTTGAGTTGCACTTCTCACATTCCCGAGGTGTTTGAGCATCTATGGCCCCCTCTTTCCCTTCTCCCAGCATTGCCTCTTTTCTCTCAGAGTCCCTGTCTTGGTGTTGGTTTGTAAGAATTCTTTGTATATCTACATCTTAGTCCTTTTTTGGTTTTAGATATAGCAGATGTCTTCTCGTCTTCTCCTTTGGTCTTTGGTGTATCTGTTAAGTCAAAGTCCTAAAAGGTGATGTGGTGGAGCGTCTGTGAGCCAGGTGCTCTGCCTACCACTGCTGCTGCTCCAGGTGCACACAGGGGCACTCCCCTGAGCCTCAGATCTGAAGTCCCTGCTGCCTGCTGCCACTGTCGTGGACCTTGGTCAACCACCAAGTGACCAGAAACGTGTACCTTCCCTCTCCATCAAACCAGTCCCCACCACCTGGTTTCTCCCAGCACTGCCTGGTGTAGCATGCAGTCCCTGCCCGACACCACAACCCCTACGTATATATTCTAGAATCTACCCAGCAGACTGATAGTTCAAAACTGCCAGTCAACACACTGGCTTTCAGTGTCAGATCTGGCTGTTTTGCAACTGCCTGAGATTCAGGGCCCTTTGCTCCCAGCGCTGCTGATCTCTCACACCAGTCATGTTCTTCACTGACCCCAAGTCCTCTCCTCAGGGTCCCCACATTCTGTTCCCAGACACTTCCCCTGTAGGTTTCTGGCAGCACAAAGTCCTCTGGGATCTTTCACATTTCCCTGTTGGACCAGCACCCACCGTGCAGAGTTGGAGCTCCCAGCAAACAAATGTCACTCAATACACATGAATCCGTTTTTGTCCCCCACCCCAGGGTCCTCAGGTGGCCGTCAGAGGCTGTGGCAGGGCTACAGGGATGGAGACAGCACATAGAAGCATAGAAACAGGAGCTTTATTCTCTACTGTGCATACAGCGAATTCCTTACACAATCAAGGAAATCGTTTCTCTTTCAGGCATCTGACTCTTTTATCAAAAGAAAATCCACCCTGCTTAGTCCCACCCTAGGCAGAAGTTGCCCTGAGCAGTGTTTTGACCCAAAGCAAAAGGCAATGAGAAGTGCAGGCACATACCACAGAACAATGCACAGATGCCCTAGGCCTGTTGGGGCAGCTGTGAGGGGGCGCAGCATAGAGAAGCACTCCAGGACACCCACACCTCCCCAAAGTCACAGCCAGGCTGGGAAGACCAGGAGGGACCGATGAATGGGGTGTGGCCAGGGCCTGCCAGTCAGAGGCTCAGTGCTCAGCATCCATGGCATCCAAGTATTTGGCTTCAATGATTCGGGGCAGCAGCTTGTAGCTGGTGGGTGGGAGGAATGGGCAGAAAGATGATGAATATTGAATCAGGGAGAAGGCAGAGGGCACCCGTCCCAGCCTCCCAACTCTTCCACCCAGCTGGCCCCACCAGCCGTCTGCCCACCCTCCTGTACCGGATGGGGATCATGGCAATCATGATGAGGGGGAAGATCATCTTCATGTAGGGCAGGGGGCTCATGCCAAAGACACAGAGCAGCAGCAGCTGCAGGACCTGCAGGCCCGTGAAGTAGTGTATCGTCCTCTGAGGCACCCTCCGGATATAATGGGTAGGTGGGTACGAGGCCTGTGGACGGGAGGGACCAGGTGTGGGCAGGCACCACTGTATCTCCCCTGCACACCCCTCACTCAAGGCCAGATCCTCACCTGGTCCTTGAGCAGCAGGGCCAAACGCTCAAAGAGCTGGTTGGCGTCGATGGAGGTGAGGGCAATGTAGAGGAAGAGGCCGTAGAGCACAGGCTTGGGGATCCACTGCAGTGGGAAGGGCAGCATCAGGAGGGAGAAGCCCACCAGGATGCTGGCGCCCAGGGTGGTCAGACGCGTCTCCCTCACATTCATGATCCTGCATGGTCCCAGAGAACCGGATCACCTCCGGCCCGGTTCATGGGCCATGCCCCACCTCAGGCCACGTTTGGCTTCAGGCTAGGGCACTTCAGCGCCACCTCCCTCCCATGGCTACCCCACCTTAGGGCCCACATGATTTTTGCCCCAGGCCTCAAGATGCCACTCTCACACTCACGTCTCATAAATGTGCCCATTCTCCACGCGCTCTTCCACCAGAGCCAGTGCCCGCACATGCATTGGGGAGTGGGGGTAGGCAGCATGGATCCAAGGCATCCCAAACATAGACAGCCCCACGTTGATGATGGCGATGAGCAAGAGGTCCCAGTGGTAGGCCGTGCCCTTTGCCAGTCTGCAGCAGACAGGCAGGGACATGTGGATAGAGCCCCTGCTGCCTCCTTGAGGATGGGGCACCCTGCTCAGCCCTCCCTCCCTAGCCCCGTGAACCTGTTCTCTGGTGCGTTCGTCAAGGCAGCCACCAGGTTCTGCTCGATGAAGAAGAGCAGGGAGAGCAGGAAGCCGAGGCCCATGGCACTGCCGATGGCCCCCAGGGTCAGCGAGTGCATCTCAGCTATCTTAAACAGGCTCTCCTTGGGGTTGTAGCGGAACTTGCTCACTGCAGCAGATACAGACACCTGCTCCAGCCTGTAGTTCCACGGGAGCACCCCGCCCCACCCCACTCCCGTTCCGGTCCAGTCCCAGCTCACTCTTAATTTCCCGGAAGCCATAGGAGCAAATGAGGGAGAAGGTGAGCACGGAGATGGGCAAGGCACAGTCTGACAGGATCTCCCGCATGTAGGGGTGCAGGTAGGGGCTGGGGACACAGGTGGGTGTATCAGTGTGGTCCAGGGGCTTGTGTCCCCTTCCCCTCACCTCTAGGCCCTTCTCACCTCTTCTTGAATTGGTAGAGGGTGTAGCCCAGCCACAGCGTGCCCAGCATGATGAGGAGGCTGAGCACGGCAGTGTCCCGGTGTGGGGACTCAGTGGAATGGCTGCTTGCTGAGGTCAGCTCCGATGAGCTGGCCAGGAGGCTGCTGTTGAGGGTGGTGTGGAAGCTGGTGTTGAGGCTGGTGCCTAGGCCCAGCAGGCTCTTCAGGAAATAATCTCTTTGCTGGTTCCCAACGTTGTTGCCATGATAGTACTTCTGGAAGACTGTGGATACAGGCCAATAGGCCTCAGCCATCTGGGTTCTGGGAGACTGGGGCCCAGCTTCCTCCTGGATGTGGGGTAGAGGGGCCCTGAAGGGAGAAGGGGCATCTGGGAGGAGTGGGGGGAAGCTGGCCTTCTCCATCAGCCAGAACCCATCAGCGTGCCCATCCACCCCCCACCCCCACCCGTCGTCGTCCCTCTGCCTTGTCTCTGATAGCGCATCTAACACTGCCTGGGCAGCCCTGTCACCCTCCAGCACAGGAGGTGCTGCTCCTCAGAGCACCCTGGAGCATGAGAACAACCTTGGCTTGCATGCTGCCTAACTCCCCCAGCCATAGCCCATGACCCCCCATCCAACTCAGATCCCTCAGGCAGCAAGTGGCCATTGGTTAAATACTCACTTTTGACCATGCCCTTGATAGCATCCAGCATGAATGTGATGGAAATGAACAAGGCAATGATCTCTTCTGTTGACCTGCCAGGGGATGATATGCCTCATATAAGATGGGGATGAGCTGTTGTGGGGGGGAGGCTTCGCTGAGCCTCGGTGTGGCCCCTCACCTCCTACTGTCATGAAGAGGACCAGTCCCAAGCTTTCTCCGTGGGGGTACCCCACCTCTCTAGGGTTATAGGACCTGAGACTGGCATGGAGGCCAACCCAGATCCCTGGCCTTGGTCTCCCTCCTGCTCAAAGTTCCAGCATTTCAGAAAAGGCCCTGTCACCTCTTGAAAAGACTCATGATCAGGCTGAGGTTGAATAGGGCATAAAGTACAAGGAAGAAGCTGTTCCACAGGCCCGTCCATGCATAGAAGGTGTTGAAGTCCAGATTGTAGTCGTCACAGATGCCACGGATCACTGCAGGCAGCAGGACGGGTGGGCGGTCAGGACAGGGCTGGGGCTCGGGCCCACAGGCACGGTCTCCCTACCACAACCCCACCGCACCATGAATGTAGAGGGCCAGGGGCGCGGTTGTCAGCAGCACCACCAGCGGCTGCCCGGAGAAGAGCGCATACAAGAGGCCTCCGATGCTCTGCCCAGCCACAGTCTTTTGCACATCTGAGGAAGTGGAATAGTCAGGCGGGCACCACAGTCCCGAGCCCCACCCATCACTCCCCACTGACCTCCAGCCCCTCACCGATGGCCCCATTAGTGTTCTCATCGTTGAGGGACCCAAAAGCGATCGTGGGCAGGACACAGGCAAAGTACAGGAACAGGGTGGTGGTGATGTACTTGCCCACAGCCCTGTTTTTCCCGATAATGCCTAGGAATGGGGAACAGGACAGAGAGTGTGTTGGAGACGCTGGACAGGCATATGGTTGTTCTATGGTCTGGCCACACAGGCTGAGCTCCGGGGACCACAGGGCTACATACCATCAGTGAAGTCCAGTGGGTACACAGGGAACCTGCGGGCCAAGTCCTCCCGGATGCCCTTTCCCACAGGGAGAAAATCTTTGTGCTGCAGGGACTATAGCAGGGTGCCTGTTAGCAATGCGGCCCGTGCCCCGCCCCTGCCCGCAGGCCCACCTTGACCCCATACCTTCTGGGGTCTTTGAAAGCTGATGGAGCTTGTACTGTAGCCCTTTATGACGACGTTTGGGACCTGGTTCACCATGGTGAGCAGTTGTCTCTGATGCACCAGGGCCTCCTTGAACTCTTCCTCTGTGCGGGTCTTCAGGAGCTTCTGGCGGAAGCTGATGTCCAAGAACATGGTGGCAAAGGTGCGCCCCACCTCCATCGCAGTCTTGGTGCTTTTCTGGGGGTGGGAAATGGGAGAATCAGAGCTGCAAACCATCGTCAGCCAACTAGAAGAAGGGTTAGGTTGGGGCAGGCCAAAGAAAGGCCCCTATGTTTGAATAATAATTTTTAGAAGTATCTCTTTTCAGTCAGAAAGGAAATACACTCTTTGGGGAAATCTTTGGAGCACTTAGGGCTTGATGAGGACCTAGCAAGGACGCTTCAGGAAACGCAGGAGGGCCAAGACGGAGAGACAAGGTGGGAACGAGACCTCCAGAGGCCAGGACCGCGGGTACTCCAGCACATGGAAGAGATGCCCCAAAGAAGACAGCAAGGTCACCTGGAACCCTCTTCCCCAACACTTCTCCTCACCATCTTGGGTGGGGTCAGCACCAGGATGACGAACCGCACCTCACAGGAGTTCTCCCCCCAGTTCTGCGGGCGAACCAGGCGGCTGATGCATACGTGCCGCCTCTGTAGGGACTTGGAGGTAGAGCTGCCAGGGGCAAGGAGGGCACACAGTTGCCATTCTTGATGGTGGGACCTTGCCCAGAGTACCCAACTTTGACCTCCAGTGACTTCTGATAGGGACTAAAAAAGATGACCAAATGTAATAGGAGTGCTCCCTCCTAAACCGGGTGGGCAGCCTCTGCAGGGACATGGGATCCCTGGCTCCAAGATGACATGTAGAAAGGCCAAGCGTGGTGGCCTGGCAACTCACATGATGCAGAGCCATGACTGCTGGTACTGCACCCCTGTGGCTGTGGCAGTGACTCCGCGGATGGTGTCTGACAGCAGGTGAACTGAGGCAAGTGGAGGGAGATAGAAGGGTCAGCTGGCCCACCTCCCTGGCCTCCCCGCCCAGGAGGGGAGGTGAGTCTGACCTTTGCCCTCCATGGGGGCCCCAGCATCAGTGAAGAGCATGGACATAAGCTGGTCCAAGTTGCAGTCAGGTTCAAAGTTGTGGGGATCATGGGCTATGCGGAGCACCATGGCCCGCAGCACGTCATCCAGCAAGGTGGCCGTCTCATTCAGGATGATGCTGGCCCGTGCCAGGAAGCCATCTAGGTCCCGTTGCGCACGGATCTCCTCCTCAAAGTTCTTTAACTTCAGGTACTGTGGGGACCCCACACAGGTCCGTGAGTGAGACCTGCCGTCACTACCTGTCCTCTCCTCCACGTGGCCCCTGGCTGCCCCTTCCCACCAGGACCAACATCCCCTTCCGGAAGGGAAGGCCTAGCAGATCAGCCCTGGGTTAGTGTGAGATCCCTGTGTAGTACAAGAGGGGAGCAGCCACCTCCAGTCCCAACTAGTGGCCAAGGACCCAATGTCTCCTGTCCTGCAGATGGGCCGCTCACCTTTCGGGAGGTGTGGAGGAGCCCACAGCCACCAGTCGATTCATTCTCAGCTAGAAAAAAGGGGGAGTGCTCAGGGCGCCAACCCATCTCCTCAGGTCTCTCTTGTTGGACCGGGGCCATACCTGTTCAGTCTCCAAGGCCCCGTCCCCAGCCCCCAGCCCCCTGCCCTCTCCCCAGTCTGTCCCTGCTACAACCGCCATACCAGCCTGGGTGGGCGGCACCTCAAGGTTGATGTTTACAAAAAAACGGATGCTCTCGCCAGAATCAAAGGTGGAGGAGTGGACTGTGTCGAAGGCCTCTTCCCCCGGGCTCTCCTCTTGGATTTCAGAGGCATCATCTGTGTCACACACGAGGTAGCCTGGAGACCCAACCACCACCAAGAAAGAGACACCCCAAGAGGGCCTGGCTGTCAGCATGACACCCTGGGAGAGACTTCACGACCAAGGAGCAGGTCCCTGGGCTGTCCCACTTGGTGCACTCAGTGAGTGGTCAGGGAGGCCTCTCGGAGGCAGAAGGCAGCCTCAGGCCCAGGCAGACAGTATCGTCTGGGCCCTGCTTCCCTCAGAGTACGGCAGCCCAGGGGCCAGCACCCACCCAACAACTTTCTCCAACATTCTTCAGCTACGGAAACCAGGGCCTTGCACAGTCTGACCCACGTATGTCCTTCAGCATCTCCTCCAGGGTATGGGACCCAGACCTGCCTGGCTAACCTCCCTCAGATGGGAGCTAAGGGAAGCCAGAGCCACTGCAGTACCCAGACCTCTCTGTCCCTACCTGGTTGGTACAGGGTTTTAGAGTGCCTCCTCCCAGGGAGGGCCTGTGGGCAAAGCACCAAGGCTGAGAAACACAGTCCAGACATCAGACAAGACCCAGGAAGCAAGAAAGCCAGAGAAATAGAGCAAGGGACTGACAGGGTCTAGGACTTGCAGGAGGAGGTCTCATCTCAGCCCCATCCCCGTGTGGGAGAGGGGCATGCCACGGCACCTCGGCACCCCCAGAGCACTGAGGTCTTGGTCTGCCTCTTAGTTCCTACAACTGCCCTACAGCACAGGCTCCCTCCTATAAGAAGGCCTCCTGTTGAGGTGCAGATGTTCTAATCCTAAATTCTCCTAGGGTCCTGCCTCACTCTTGGCCCAGTCTTCCTGACTACAGGTCCTCAATGGTTTACCCTTTGGGCGATCCCAGGAAAGAGGCCCTTGTAGCTCAGACCCCACCAATGCCTAACACCTGTGCAGAAACAAGGGCCAGCAGCACGCCTACACCTGCCAGGCAGTGACTCACCCTGACTCACTTCCACTCTCACATGGCGGTTTCCTCTGCACATCCCAGGCCCTATACCCTTCATGTTGTCCTGTGCTCAGCCTGAGTCCTTTCTGGACAGGAGTAAGGTTTCCCCTGTCAAGGCCCCCATGATGGTGAACCCTAGCCTTAGGTTTACACTCAGAGCCCAGAGCAAAGTTATTAGGTCAAAAGGTGTCCTTACAATTTTTGTCATGGAGCTCATGTCCACAAAAAATGCCTTCCTCCCCAATTCCAGGCCCGCTGTGCTTTGACAACCTGGTTCTCCAGCCCCGACCTGCCCCAGCCTCCCCTCTGTCACCCAAAGCACCCATTATTCCTGTGTCACCCTCACACTGCCCCCTTCTCCCTGGGACCTGCACAACTGACACTACCCAGTCCCTACAATGCTCCTGGGATGCCCCATTCCCTCCTCCATCCTATAGCCCAGCCACATACCTAACCTGCCTGCCAGCAGCCTGGCACATGCAGTCGTCATGCCCTAGGGACCCTGGGTAAGAGCACCATCACCAGTCTGTCCAAACACTGTCCCACTAGACAGCCCTCTGATGGTCACACCAGTACCTGGGTCTGGGCACAGGAGAGGCAGCACAGAGCCAGCCCAGAGACATGGGGAAGGGAGAGTTAGACCGGAGCTAGCAGGGAACACAGAAGCAGAGTTATGTTTCTTTTTTTTTATCCTCATCCAAGGACTTTTTTGCATTTATCTTCAGATGGAGTGGGAGGGAGAGAGGGGAGAAGAGAGAGAGAGAGAAACATTGATGTGAGAGAGACACATCAACTGGCTGCCACCCACACGACCCCAACAGGAGCCAGGGACAAACTGCAACCGAGGTATGTGCCCTTAGCGGGAACAGAACCTGGGTCTCTTTGGTCCGCTGGCTAACACTCTAACCACTGAGCCAAACTAGCCAGAGCGAGTTACGTTTCTTTAGACTCTAAAGTTTAGAGGAAAAACAGCAGCCCCTCCATCACAGGGCTGGGCAGGACTGAGGGATGTGGGCATCCAAATACTTGCCCTAAGGTTGGTCACATAACCAGAGCATTGTAAAGTGAACATGGGAAATCACCAGATGCTTTATATAGCCCATGAGAGGGAGCAGGCTGCCACCCCAGGACCACAGGACCACGCCGCCACAAGAGACCTGCTAGTGTCCAGGGCAGTTTCAGCTGCCTCTCTGACCACACAACCTTCTGAAGGGTAGGATCCAAAGTCATCCCAGAACCAGCAGAGGACCACCCATGAACACCCAGGTAGATGGACTAGTTTCCCTAGAGACTTTTGACCAAGGAGCTCTCTCTAGTCACACACCCACAGATGAGTGTACTCACCTGCATCCTCCAAGTATCCATTCTGTGACATAATGGAAGAGGGTTCTGCAAGGGAAGCCAAAGAACTGTTACTAGCTCCAAGGACCAGCCCTGGACAGTCTACAATGCCATTCTGCTCTTCACCCCTCACCAACCCTGCTCATTTCTTCTTCTTCCCCTTCCCAGGGACCCAACCCACACCAACCTTAGAGAAAAAGGAGCAGAGGACAGTACTAGAGAGAGAACTTCCTCTTGAGGACCCAGAGGAAGTCAAGCCTACTATTCTTTAGCCCATCTGCTGGGGGCCGCCTAGGTGAGAACGCAGATAGATGTTCTCAGCACGTTTTCTCCACGAGTAATTAACAGTACCCCGTGAAGAAATGAAGGTTTCAGTGGTAGAACTCAGCAGCTGGGACTGCTGGGAGGGGGCTGCCTCCAACCTCCCTGTCGTAGCAGGCCACGTTCTCGGGTTGTTCTTTCGCTGCCAAGCCCAATACTTTGCCTGTAGGCTTCCCGACACATTGTTCCTCTGACTCTCACGTCGGTCCCGGTGGCCATCAACACCCATCACACGTGCAGCCGCCCCCAACTTCACGCGCCCATGGGGCAACGGCCTTCTCCCCTCGTTGCCTTCCTCCCTTGGGGCCACCACCCACGTCCTGTGCCTCCTGGAAGGCGGAGCCGTTGGTCCTCAAGGGGGATGGGTAGGGGTGGCTGTGCGCGCTCCTCACGCTGGGCCCCGGATGGTCCCGGCTGTTTGTGTCTCGCTGTACCAGGAAGGAAAGCCACAGGATGGGGTCGCGTGCACGACAGGAAATTTCCTCTAGACTCGGAGACCCTGGGAGTCCGGGAGGAGGTAGCGGGGTGAGAACCCGGGCTGCATCCAGAAGAGAGGAGCAGGGGCAGTCAGGCTAGCAGCCGAGACCACGGCGATGAACACGGCGAGGGTGACCTGGTGACCAAGGTCTGGAAGAGTGGCGAATGGTGCACACCCTACTCCCATCCCGGGCGCCCCACGTCCAGATATATGTCATACAAACCCGGGCGGGCCTCGGTGTGCGAACTGCGCTGGAGAGGCTGCTACAGCGGCGCAGGGGGCAGCCAGAGGCCGGGAACCACTACCCGTGCGCAGACTTCCGCGCAGGAGGTACGTGAAGCCTTCGGAGGCAGCAGCATGCTGAAACGCCGGCGCTTGGGCTACTAAAAACTAATCCCCAGCTCCACCCGCCCACTTCCAAACCTCCCAACCCTCCGCGGGCTACCTCATTGGTTCAAAAACTTAAGAATCTCAAGACTGCGATGCAGAGCATTATTCCAGCGCTTAGTGCTCCCCATGCCGTCCCTGGGCCTCCCTTCACCACCCGTCTACGCAGCAGGACACCCACTCGTTAGTGACTGAACTCATCCCGACTCTGCCCCTGGCTGGGAACCCCCCACGAGCCTCGCCCACGACGCCCCGGGGCCCCCCGCAGGCGCGGCCCGCGCTGCCCCCACCGCCCCGACGGCCCGCGTCCCCGCCTCGCACGCCGGGGCTGCGGAGAGCGGACAGCCTTTCCGCGGTGCCCGCCGGCTCAGGCACCCACCACAAGGCTGGACATGGAACATGCGCCTGGTGGCCGCGGCCATGGCCCTGGTGATCGGCTACCGGGCTGCTGCACACACGCGCGCACGCCCGGGATCCTCACCGGGTGCTCCGCACCCCAAACTTGGCGTCTCGGGCGGGACAGCGGAGGGAGCTGGCGACACACCCCCACACCGCGCTGGGTCCTAATGCCGCTCAGACACCCCGCCCCGGCGCGGGAGGCGAGGCCCAGGACTGGGTCCCGCTCGCCCGCCCCGCTCCCTCACCCGCGCCCCTGTCGGCTCCCTGTCGGCTCCGGACCAGCTTCTTCGGAAGCTCGTGGCGACTTAGCCCGAACGTGTAAACCCGGCTTCTTCGGCCCGTGCGCCCGCACAGGCGTCTCCAGGTTAGGGTCTGGGGGCGCTGGTAAGTTTCCGCGAAGAAACTCGACGGGCCCAGAGGCTCACGGAGTCACGCCACTGCGGCGGGTCGAGGAAGGGCTTCAGGGCATCGGCTTTAAGCGCGCAGCCGGCCTCCGCCCCCTCTTCTCGGCAGGGGGCCTCCGCTGCGAGGACCGCCGCCTGCTCCGCCCCCTTCATTCATCCCGGCTGCTCGGGCGGTAAACCTTCCTCCTCCTCCTCCAGGAAGCGCGCCTGGACTAACTAGACGGGCCGGCGCGCCCTCCCTGGGCTCCGCCCTGGCCCGCTGAGCCCACCGCCCTCCCGGCTCGGCAGCGTCGGGTTTGCGCGCAGCCGCCTCGCAGTTTCTCCTCTGGCCTCGTCGCGCCCTCGGCGCTCTCTTGGGTCAAGGTCTTGGCTCGCGCTTTCTTTCCTTCCCAAAATGGCCCCGCCGCCGGGTTTTCCTTATCGGACTGGCGGGATCCGCGCCTTCTCTGGCTCCTCATCTTCTGATAGAGTGAATGAGTGTTGTGTGGTGTGGTGTTGTGTTGTGTGGTGTGTGTGTGCCGCGTCTGTGCAGGGAGGCGGTGGTGCGTGCGGCAGGTGGGCACGAGTTGAGATGGGGTCTGGCCAATCTAGCCCATGCGAAGAACCTTGAGCTGGCCTTCGATGGCTTCTCAGCCAATGATTCAATAAGGTTAGGCCCTGGATTGACCCAGGGTCTCCTCCACTCCCAAGTGTTAACCCTCCATTCCATCCGCACTTACCGCCAGCCCAAGGACTGGCAGCATTTCCCGCCCTCATCTCAGGCTGGGACGGAGGCCGCTGTTCCCCAGGCCTGGCAGATGGCTGGCGGGGCAAGCAGAGGGTGAGACCCACTCTGTGGAGTGGCTGTCCTGCAGCCCCCAAGCATTCCTGGAGCGTGGTGCACAGATGTGGTGAGTGAGACTGACCTGGTTTTCCTTCCCAGCAAGATATGAGGCATTAGGAGCAAAGCCATGGGACGCCCCTCTTGGCTTATGAATGGCTTCGGGTTAGGATGGCCTTGAGCATCCTGCTTCCTACTACAGCAGTAGATGCTGAGGAAGATAGCTGCCTGCTTCTTTCCTTGGGGTGAGCAGGGTCAAATGGGGTCATCTAGTTAAACCCCCAGCTCATGGCACAGACTCCCAAAATCACTGGGGTGAGAGATGGAGGCTGAGAGGGAGCTGCAGAACAGATAGGCACATTGCCCAGGGAACAAGCCTGGACTGGGGATGTGTGTGTGTGTGCAGGGGTGGACCCTTGAAAAGCCACTTGTTTTGTCCCCAGCCCCTCCCGTGGCTATGGCTAGATTCTGCATCAGCCCCCCCACCCCCACTCCACGTGTCACCAGCAGCTCCCTGGAGGTCTAACACCTAGACCTTCCAACCCAACACTTCCAGGAAGCCAATATAGATTGGGGGTGGGGGACAGGCTCACATTCTTACTGCAGCCTCCTCCTCCCTCATCTGAGGAAACAGGAGCCCACAGCCAAAGGCTTCTCCCAGTGGTTGATGGACCTGACTCTCAGAGGAACTAACGCTGATCCCTTACCCACCACAGCCTTAGGTGCTTAGCCCCTGCTGCAAAGTGGGAAGCTGTTTCCTTTAGTCCTCCCACCCACCACCTGCCCTTTGTCTATGGATCAGAGGCTGAGGTCTCCCCACCTGTGCCCCACTGGGTCCTTAAACAGGTGCTTTCAGAACCCAGACATAAGCACACACATTCCTCTCATTTCCTCCCTTGGGGTCTCAGACTTCACTGGGCTGTGGACACAACCATGAGCTCTGGGTTCCATAAGCCACATAATGGCTTTCCAACTCACTTTCTCCTTGTGCCACTGATGCCTGTAGATTTAGAATCTGGAGTGAGAAGTCATTCTATAGTATCTAAATAAAAAACAGAAAATAGCCCAGCCAGTGTGGCTCAGTGGGTTGAGCATCGTCCCATGGACTGAGAGGTCCAGGTTCAATTCCCAGTCAGGGCACATGCCCAGGTTTCAGGATTGATCCCCAGTAGGGGTCAAGCAGGAGGCAGCCAAACCATGTTTCTATCTCTGTGTCTAAAAAATCAATAAAAACATTAAAAAAATGAAAAAACACCCTGGCTAAACTGAGCAGTTAGCGAGTCGGCCCATGGACTGAAGAGTTTCGGGTTCGATTCCTGTCAAGGGCACGTACCTCGGTTGTGGTTCCGTCCTCGGTCCTGGTCGGGATCGTGCGGGAGGCAGCTGGTCGGTGTGTTTTTCAGGCTGATGTTTCTCTCTCTCTCTCCCTCCTACTCTATCTGAAGATAAATGGAGACCTCAGGTGAGGATTTAAAAAAACAACAAAAAACATAAAACAAAGCACTCCCTTGAGCTCCTTGCTCCAGATATCACCTAGTTCCTCAGCAGTGCTTCAGAGCATTTTCCTCATTATCTCCTCATTGTCTCCACACCCTCTCCTACTTCCCTTTGACCCACGCACACCCATCTTTTGTTCTCACCACTCCACTGAAACTCTTGTCCGGTCACCCACCCCGTGTCAGCTTTCTTGTCAGCCCCTCCCCCACCCCCAGCAGCACCCCGCCTCCTTTTTCCATTTTTTTTGTTCAGATAGAGTGGGAGGGAGACAAAGAGAAAGAGAGAGAGAGAGAGAGAAACATCGATGTGAAAGGCCCTGGGGACAAACTGCAACCGAGGTACAAGCCCTTAGTGGGAACCAAACCCGGGTCTCTCAGGACCGCAGGCCAACACTAACTGCTGAGCCAAACTGGCCAGGGCCAGCCGCCTTTTTCTTACAACATTTACTTCCCCTCTGATCTAGCCCTCGGTGTTGGCCTGAATCCATGGCTCTCAACCAGCTACAGCTGATGGTCACTGAGCTCCTGACTTCAACAGGCTACAGGCTACTTACCCTCCTACCCCGAATGTGGATGGCTAATAGGCAATTCAAATGAAATTCAGGCAAAATAGAGCTTCCGAGTCCACCATCCACTTAGGTGCTCTGGACCTGGGAGTCACCCTGACCCATCCACATCTGAACCATGAGCAAGTTTTGTTGGGCTTACCTTCAAAATAAAGCACAGTTCTGCCCCCTTGCACCTCCATCCTGGTCCATCATCTGGCCTTCTGACTTGCCCCTCAACCCCATCATCCATTCTCCACCTCCAGTGGCTTCTCATGGCACTTAGAAAAACAACCCAAACTTCCTGCTGTGGCCTAGGGGAGTAGGGGGTGGGGTAAGGTCCATGTCTCTTTCCCACTTCATCCTGTACCTCCTGCTCCCAGGGGAGCATTGAGCCACAGTGGCTGCCAACTGTTCCTCCAATACGACCAGCCTCCCTGCCTGGAGGCCTTGATAGTCTAGTGCCTGGAAGGCATGTGCACAGCTCTTACATTGGCTCATTTCATCCTCTGGCTCTCAGAGAGGCTTCCCTGATCACACCATCTACAGTAGGTGGCTGTGCCCTCCATCACAGATCCTCATGGCCCCTAACTATAGCCAGGCCTTCTTCATTCTTACTCCACTGCCTGGGCCCCTTCCCCTTGGCCAGACTGGATCTCCCTGAGAGCAGGGCTGTGTGTTTGTCTTTGACCAGCGCAGCTCCTAGTGCAGTAGGTGCTCAATAAACCTGTGACATGTTGAATGCATAATCAGTGTCTCCATGTATATATATTCCTGGAGGCTTTCAAGCCAATGAAGTCCTCCAGATGACGTC